GCCGAACAGTCTTTTTTTTTTTTTTTTTTTTTTTTTTAAATGAACACACTGAGATACAAAAGGAAATAAAATGAACACTGTACGGCGTGGGATATATTCAAGTGACAGAAAAAATTTCGGGGTACAGTTTAATAATAATAATAATAATAATAATAATAATAATAACAACAACTCTATTACTTTTCACGGATGGATTTTCGAAGTAATTATCTCAATAAAAATATAAAACATTTTAAAAAAACTATAAAACTACATATTCACAAGACAAGATATCAATAGAATAGCCTCTGATTCTCTCCGTTAAGATAAAAGTAATATAAGCGACCCTGTCTTAAACAAGTGAATGCCGCAATGTTTGTTATCTTAGGGAGCCTTTCGGGTAAGGCGTTCCACACTGAAACGGCCCGATAATGAAAGGTCCTTTGGCCTGCGGCAGTTCTGTATTCGGAAATGTCAATCTTCTTCTTGTTGCGCGTGTCTCTGTTGCGAATTTGGGACCGCGTTTTAAATTTTTTAGCCAGATAGTCTGGAGCCAGTTCCCTTCAGCGCTTGAATGAGACAGTATGCCATCCCTGGATGAGACAGGTAGCCATTTTACTTCTCTAAGAACGGGAGTGATGTGATAAAATTTACACAAACGAGTTAAGACCCTAGCTGCGAAGTTTTGCAAAGCTGTAATTTATTGATATTCTTATTCGTACGGTGTACTAGACCAAACGCTTGACAGTAGTAGAGTTTGCTAAGTACTAGTGCATTGATAACCTTTCTTCAAATTATGGAAAGAACAAGAATTTAGAATGGTATGAGAGAAGTATAAGCGATCAAGATGAAATAATAAATATGATCAATATCGTAATAAGTAGTAAAAAAGAGAAATTGCCTTACTGGAAGCACATATTAATTTGACCAAAAAGGGAAAACAAAACAAAGCTTTAGCTGATTTTGCACATTTTGCGGATTTATTGAAAACAAGGTGAACAATTATACAAGGTAAAAAGCAGTTCTACGATGAGTTAAGTTACGTTGGGTTATGAACGTTGAGTTAACTAGGACTTTCTTCAAGGAGGCCTCCCATTCAAAAAGCCGTACACTAACAACTCTGTGAGTTACTAAACCTTGCAACTCTTCCGGTTACGTACTTACCATCGATGTCTACGTTTGCTTCAAATGTTGGCAAGAGATCAACCTCAACAGTCTCTCCAGGGTCCCCAGGGTAACGTGACATTTTAAACTGCAAGGAGAACCGCGTTTCCTTCTGCGCAGAAGCCAGTTTCCATGAGCCCCCTATGCTGCTCTTTAAGCATGACTTAAGCTTACGCTTGATGGCGGGTAGTTTCTGTCTCAACTGTGAAGCGTTGTCAATGCTGTTCATGACCATCACGCAATCCAGGTCGGCGTCGTTTTTTATTGCAGTGCCTTTTGCTATGGATCCACCCTACAAAGACAACTCAGGCATGTAGGATCCACTCATACCTTTTTTTATCGCTTTCGTGCTACAATGACGAGACCACACGACAACCGTGGCCCTGGGTCTAGCTAGAAACCGCTCTGAGGAGGGGACTCCAGGGCAAAAGTATCGAATACAATAATCTTAACTTTTAGTGGTAAAAATCAGCGATTTGCAATAAAAGCTATACCAAGCAAACCCACGAAACATTATTGAGGGAAAGAGAGGAAACCGATTCATGTATTCTAGGAAAGACTAAGTTTATCTCATACTTTCAGGAAGTGTTTCAACACGACCGGGGTCGAAGTACTTTTCTACCTGTATTTCAAATTTCACTCTTCCCTACATCTTCGAATGTATTGCAGACTATCAAAAAGGATCAACTGCCGCCCGTTTATTGTGTGTCACGCCCTTTTAAGATATCCAGTATCTTCTAGGGATATTGTTGAAAATTAACGACATCTACAACGATACTTTTTCCCCGGCGTCTTTCTCAACCACCCACTTTTCGGGCGAGGGGAGGGGGGCTGTCTGACCACCAACCTTAATCAGGTTATGAATTGGATACTCTGTATCCTGCAAGTCTGTCTGAAGTTCTCGGTACAATGAATCGACAGCATCATTTAAGAGACGATGAAATTCTTCATTTGGCTGTAGCTCATCACTTATGAATTTATTCAAATCCAGGCTAGAATTCTCTCTTATATCATCTGAAACTAAACAAACAATTAAACAATTCAGCGAAATGTTTGTGAGGTAGCAGGACTGCCCAAGGAAAAGACCATGCGAGGCTCCGTTCAATATCTTAAAGAATTTCCTTCACCTCACCAGCCTGCCTGCGAATAAACAGCAACGAAAAACAACCAAACAAAAACGATAACAAAGACGGCGATGACGACGACGACGACGACGACGACGCTGGGGGTAAACTTGTTCTGAGATTGAAATTTACGTTTACAAAATGGATTTGAACAAGATATATCACCTGAAACGCGAAAAAAAGTTAAGTTACTTTAATTCGTTGCCAATTTTATTGATCATTTGCCCAACATCTCACCTTGACAAGAACTTTTAATAGCATACAGGTAGACCATAGCTTACAAACAGACCATGACAGAATTGGAAACCCAAATTAAACTAAAACGTTCTCCCTCAAACGTGTAGTGGTGTGTAGCAGTGTGTTGCGGGGCAGGCAAAATGAAAACCGCGTAAAGGAACTTTCCATCGAATAATATTTTTACGGAGAAATAAACCAACATACAAAGAAAGCCTCAGTCTAATCTCAAAATTCGACATACCATTAGTATATTGACGATTATGATTATTTCTTAAATTTCGTACATTTCTACATTGTTTGGCTTCTGTTAAACCCAGTTATTTTTCTAGATTCCGAAGTACAATATTTTGTACGACCATTATTGTGAAACAAAATGAAAGAAATTTGAACCGTTTCATCCATCCCTCCCTCAGCTTAACAACCCTTCCCCACCTAACCTAATTAGCAACCAAAAAATTGCGTCATAGCCTGTGGGAAGCAATTTTGCTTTCAGTTTCGTTTTAATCCAGTGGGACTTGAAAAACACCAAGGTTCCAGGGTAGTTTATATCTGGGAGTATAGAAAGTTATGCAAGATATGCAACTTTTCTCCTTCGGAAAGAAAGGCAGGGCGCTTTTCAGCGACGGACGCTATCCGGAATAGTCTCCTTCGAAGACGTTATTAGGGTCGTCACGCAACGCTCCTCCCCACTAGTAGGGAGGAGCGTTGCATGACGACCCTAATAACGGCTGCGAAGGAGACTATATCCGGAAGTGATGGAACCTTTCCCTCACGTGCCTTGGATTTTCCAAACTACGGGCAATAGCCTGCGTTGCAGCCGAACTTGTCACAGAGACCCAGATAGAGAACTCGATATTGTCTATATCAGGGATTTAGACTGTCTGCGACGCAGGCTAACAAAACCATTGCTCAAGAATGCAAAAGAGCACTTTCAGCTTGCGTCCGTTGTACAAAGGCTTTTGCAAAAGCACGTGTAAAAAACAAAACTGAATGCAAGGCTGGCTGTACTAACACATGTATTAAAGCTTACTCTTCGCACCGTACTATATAAGGACTTGGGTACGTATTGACAGGGTATGTAAAAGTTTTATAATTGATCGATGGATGTTACCTATCATTTTCTCATGCTTTTTGCTTGGGTTTTTCATATGATCCTCTCGGCCTTTATCTGTGGTAAACCGCTTCCAGCAGACCGTACAAGGATAAGGTTTCACTGATCGCGAAGCCATGTCTGGCCTACCATGTGCGGCTTTTTGATGATCAGCACGGCTATTATCTGTTTTAAACCGCTTCGAGCAATCTGTGCACTGAAAAGGTTTCATAGCGGAAACCACAACTAACTCATTACCTGGGAACGAAGCTTCTCAAGTAAAAGCGAAACTTAATTTTCCTGGTTCGTTTTATATTTTTACTTCTCACATCCATGCGCAAATGTGGCCTTTGAAAGGGAAATCCCCGACCTCGTCATACACGTCATACAATGCCATCCCCGAATAAAACTCACAAAATTTAAAAAAATATGGCTGAAAAAATGCCAGTTTTTAGCGAGTACTAAGAGAGGGTAATAACTTGCACTAAAAAGCACTAAATACTTGAAATAACCCACTGTTGTATTCTTAAACATTCGAGTTTGTTATTGTTTGTTTTCAGATGACGTCCATGCATCTGACCATGCTGGTGGCCAAGAACAAAAGTGTTCACTTCAGTGTTGCGAACCAAACACTCTCTTAATGCAAATTCCGCGAAAAAAAAATTGTTTTGTGCTTTTTGTGGTGGTTGAAAGCAAGCAGCGATATCGTGGTCTCCTCAAACACTCGGGCCATACCGAATATCTAAATACCTTACTGAATTGTTTATTACTTCCAGAAAACATACAAAGTTTAATATGCCTAATTGCCAGTATTGGAGATCTTTAAAAAAGCAGCAACCCACCGTTGTATTTTTATAATTAGGGGGGTTCCCCACCGTACCTTGGGGTTTTCTTTCCTGTTTTAGTCAGAAATTATTAATGAGGGGGTGTCCCCGCATGAATTTCCTTTTCAACAGCATATGGCGTCAACATTTCTATTTCAATGGTAAACAACTTATAGAAAGTACTTGCCATCTGAAAAATCTACTATGAGTTATTTACGCAATAGACCACACTTTCTATGGGTTTACCGGCGCGATAACCCACGCGGGATGTTGGGAGAACGCGAGAAAAGCTTGTAAATTACGAGCCGAAGGCGAGTGATTTACAAGCTTTTCAAGTGTTCTCCCAACATCCAAAGTGGGTTATCACGCCGGTAAAACCCATAGAAAGTGTGGTCTATTGCTTTTATAAAATAACTTTAAGTTTTCTATGAGTTTACGGCACAAAAAATCATAGGTTTTTATCCAATCAGAAAGCGCGTTCTATCTTAGTTATTTTATAAATTTTATTATACAACATATTGATGTGATTTGATTCCTGAGCATGCGCCCACTCGTGTAAGCACTGGGGTCGAGATTGGGATTCTTCATTCTTTCCGGCCTTTATTTCTGGCCCCTCTCACTCTCGTACCCAGAGTACTCCGGCTTTTCGGCTTTGCCCCGCTGACCAAAATGCCAGACGACTAAGTACGAGATTGGCTTAGGCTTATCTCAGGCATTTCTCAGTGAAGCAAACAGTTCGGTGTTTAATTACATTGCCAAAGTAAATTGCAGGCTTGCAAAGTAAAACCTGCGTGAAATTAAATTGGTGAAGAGTGAAAATGTATTGTAATAAAGATTTTATGAGTTTGATAGGTACTATACATTAAAGTGAACTTATATTAAAAGTAATGGAACGATATGAAAGCATAAAGTATAATAAGTATACAAGTGGTACATTGGAATGAAATAATACAAACTGCCGGTCAGAACTATTTGCAGGGGTGTTATTTTAGCAACGCCGAAACGAGCAAAGTATAACATAGCAAAGGTAATGTACTGTAATAAAGGAGACAGGCAACTATTTTCTCTAGTCAAGATTTGTTTTCTTTGACTTTCTTGACTATTTCTAAAAAATCAGTTCGTTGCTTGTTTAGAAAAAAGGAAAGGTAATTGATATCTTTTGAACCTAGCTTGTTTTGCTGATGGACAGCAGTTTTTTTGTCAAATTTTGCGCTAGGCTGTCATCGTCTTGGATTCAATTCGTTGTTTATGTAAAACCCGTCGCCGCTTATTAGTACTGCATGCATGGCTCATGACGGTCTTGATGGATCCTCATTCCTCGTGGCACCAACGTCATCATCATCATAATTATCATTATATTCATCATCGTGGTCGTCATCATCATCATTATTATCGCCATCGTCACCATGAACATCAACATCAAGGGTGCGTTATTTCTTTACTTAAATCCAAATCCGGATTTTCAATCCGAAACGGATATTTCGTTTCTTTAGTTAAATCGAAAAGCAGATCATGGATCCAAATGATCCACAACGGAGGTGGATTCTTTGGATCATTATCCAAAACCGGATACTTTGGACACATCCTAAGCGTTTCTTTACTACGGATCCGAAAAGAGTGAACATTGCCAGCGGTAACTTGAAATAATTTTAATACATACAACAGCTTTTTGACAAGACAGCTTACCTATACGGTCATTTTTGAACCGGAGTCATGAATTAAGCGATGGGTTTTATCCGTTTTATAGAGGAGGTAAAATCGCAATACAAACAGGACCTACATTGTTCTAGTTACAAGGAAAAAACTGTTACACAACTTCGCCGGCGCGTCTTGCAAGAATTTATTTTACCAATACAAATCTTATTTCAAGACTTGTCTTCATTTGGCCCGTCTTAAGCAGTATCCTAATGCTAACCGTCCGGAATACAAGGAAAGATCATCAAACTTGCGGCCTTGTCAGCAGCCGTGTTATTCTTTCAGTCCGGGATTCCGTCGGAATGGAAATGAATGAAAATTATCCCTTCTGGATACATCGTTTCTTTTCTCAACGAAAAATCCTAATTATCTGATTTTTGATCTGCATGATCTTGAATTTTAGTGAAGAAACGCACCCCAAATTAACACCACCACTAGGCCTTTCCCGATTGTGCTCCGCAACTTTTGAGCAACTTTTGGCGCCTGGAGCAACTTTTTGCGGTTCTAGCAACCTCGGGCAAATTTTGCCTTTCTGAGCAACTTTTGAGCAAAATATACGTTTAGAGCACATATCAAGCACGAAAAAGTCAACTATTTCATCGAAAACTTCAATTCATGCGAATTTCTTGAATGTTTATCAATTTGTTAAAAAAAGTACTTTTTTTTTTTTACTTTTTTTCATTAAAAATACCTAAGCTTCGAGCTATTTTTCGTGACCGATGTTAGTGATTATTGTGAAGAACGAAAAATAAAGCTTTTATCTATTCCAGTGAGCATTTTTCCAGCATTTTACGAACACAATCGGGAAAGGCCTAATCACCACCATCACCACTATGATCGTCATTATCATCATCATCACACCATCATCATCATCATAACCTGAGATCAGGCTCTATTTTCGTTTCGCTTTGAAAATCACATTCCCACGGGCATGGCGAAACGAAAAGAGAGGCCCGATTTTAGCGGTAGCCGTTAGAGAGAATGTATGAGAACCGCTAAAATTGGGTCTGATCTCAGGTTAGTCACTTTCGGGCCTGTTTCGCGCTTTCTCGCCTTCTCTCCACCTTGGCTCGTAGTGCATTCGTTTTTCTTCGCAAGCTGGCAATCGCTCAGTATCTCCCTGGCTCTATTAGCGATAAGTGAAAACAAAAGACTACTCATAGTCTACGGGACGATATTTCTCACTGTCGAAGGTGTCCTTGAAAACGTCTTAAGTTATAGTCAACTTTACCTTGTTACGGAGCAGAGCAATATTGGTGGGCTTGCCCTTCGTTTGTGAACAAGGGGAAGTGTGCTAAAGGACGCAGGAGCTTCTTACCCTGTCCTTTCGCCCATTCTTCTCCTTGTCCCTTAATCGTACACCCCACAAGACAGCCTGCTCAAAGGCTGCCGTACACTACATATCTAAACTGGATGAGCACTCCCATTCTTACAATGACGTTGATCAGACTTTGCACACGCTCCAGATCGTGGGCTTCACCTCTTTACTTCGCGAACAAAGGGGTTTGCCGGGTGAGTTCTTTGTTTTTGTGTATTATTTTATTTGTCGATACATACTTATTATATTATCTTTTTAATTTTTCTTAGGTGAAATGAAGAAGCGTTAGGCGTGATTCAGGCTTCAAGCGTGATGATTTCACTTACACATCCCTACACACTTGTCCAACCTCGTTCCCAAATTCCTCTCCTGCTCATCCTCCCGAAAGAAGAGCAGGAGTGGACCCTGGGAACAAGGTTGCACACTCGCCTTGTATTTAAGAAAACGAAGTTAAGTGTCGACTGTATGATACAAACAAGATGTACGCGCTTTTTTCAACTCTTTAGTCGTTGACTCTGCACACCCGAAGTAAACATGGACCTCCCCAGAAGAAATATGGGATTAAAATGTAACGAGTAACGCAGTACTGAATTGCCATGATTGTTTTTATAATATTGCAACTGTTGATTTACACATGTTCTGAATAAATCACTGTGAGAAACTGATTTTTATGATCATGGTTATTTATGAATTTGGGGCGAGGGAATTATGAGCTATAACATACTTTTCGATTGTAGGTTATCCCCTGTGGTAAAAATTCGAAGATGAAAAGAAGCCCAAATTGAAATCTTGGTAAATGGTTTGGGTGACCCTCTCATAACTCTGAAACAAATTTCAGTTCAAGATGGCCAGCAGCAGAAATCAGAAATTTGATAAACGATCTGGGTAGCCTTCTCATCGGCTCAAAATGTCACCAATCACCATTTTCTTCCGTTGCTTTGACAATACACAAAATAGAGGAAATTTCAGATGTTGAGTCTGTTGAGTTCTTGGGTTCCTAAAGAACATGGAGACCTGTTATCTTACTAAAAGCTTTAATGAACTGCAAAACTAATACAGGGTAACTACTTCAGTACAGTAGTGTAAGAAATAGCTGTCGCGCGGTTACATAGTTGATGGTGCCATCGATGACACGCCTGGCTGCTACACACTACACACCCAAATTATACCCTAATCCCTTTAGGGACTCTACATATTACAAATAAATCTAATAAAATCTTGGTTCTTCAGCTCCAGTTAGCTGTAACCCACACATCTCTGAGAAGGGGTTTCCGCATGGTTTCTTCTGCAACCTTTTTCACCTCATCCCAGCAGTCAACAGCGTCGTGCAGGTTGTTGGTTGGGTTGGCAGGATCAATTACATATGGCCCATACAGGAGACTGAAATGCCAAAAACGAAAATATGCCATAAATAAAATTCTCCAGTAAAAAAAAATTTGTCCAATTGCTATATTTCTAAAATTTACGTGTTACGAATTTCTTGCCTCGATAGACATTCCTAACGGATTTGGTAACTGGTTGAAATAAGGTAAAAAGAGGATACCGGTTTACGAACATCCGAGACGGTCTATGTCCTCAAGGTTCGTTTATCCTGGTTAAACTAATTTAGAACACTCCATGAATGTACCTGCTTGGAATTAAATTCTTTCTGTAGTAATCTCCCCAGGAAACACGAAGACTTTGGTGATTCTTTAGAACCTCCATAACAGCTTTAAAACCAATCTTCAAGTCAAATCTCTCTGGACGATTTGCATCTTCCCAGGCGTGTATTGTGAGAAGCTCCAGAAGATAGGAGGGTGGGACATGCTTACTACCAATCTGTGGAATATACGTCTTGCGCCAATACTTCAACAACCGAATCAGGTCTTTTACGAGTGCAGGCCGTTCCTTGACGAAGTGTTTTTGAATCAACACAAGGGCTGCGGAGTAGTATGGCCAGTTCTTTTTGTCCTCAAGCATTTTTCTGTAAAACCTTTCTCGCTCTAAGACAAAGAATATTGAATCTCTGCTTAGATGTAACATCATAAAAGTATTTTAACTAAACGCTGATAAGATTAAATCTCTCCTCAGATTCAAGATCATAAAAGATGCAATAAAATTTCATAAATCGTTTTTCAAGATTGCGCATGTCTTTAGCTTCACTGATGGGCAGTTGACCAACAACCCAAAACTCACTGTTTAGTAGTTTAATCTGCGCGCAAAGATTATGTATGTCTGTTGCACCTACGTATGAAATGGTAAGCCCCTGGTGAGAATGGAGGGCACTAATGCCTTCTCATGGGAATGTTATTTTCAGAGCTGTCCCCTGGGTAGGTATACTATTGGATTGTTGTGCAAACCCCTAGGGTGGGGGAATTTGAAACTGTCGCCATGCATCTAGTAGGACCGAGAGAACCTGATGATGAGACACCCCCCATCTTATGAATTTCACTTGAAGCGGCGATGTGGTCTTTGTCCAAAGAACTTTGAGCACGTTAGCAAACTAGTGGAAGATATTGATGGCAAACAAAATAAAATGAAATTCAAGATGTTGCACAAAAGTTAAGACCAGTCGTTTGTTTAAAAAAAACACTGAGATACAAAAAGAAGTGAAATGAACATTCAGCGGCGTGAGACATACAAGTGACGGCAAAAACTTGTATAATTACTTGAAATTATGGAAAGAAAAAGAATTTAGAATGGTACAATTGAAGTAGTAGTGATGAAGATGAAATAAGGAAACAAATAATAAATTAAAACAAGACTGCAAGAGGTAGTGAAAAAATAGAGATTGCCCTACTGGAAAGACATGTTAATTGACCAAAAAAGGAAAAACAAAACAAATCTCTAGCTGATCGACATTCACTGTTTTATACATTTTGCTGACTTCAGTCAAAACCGGGTGAACAATTACATTTGTACTATAGGATAAAAAGCAGTTGTGCGATGAGTTAAGTTAGGTTGGGTTATGAACGTTGAGTTAACTGGGAATTTCTTCAAGGGGGCCTCTCATTCAAACAGCCGTGCACTAACTACTCTATGAGTAACTCAGCGTTTCAACTCTTGCGGTTACGTACGTACCATCGACGCCCGCTACGCTTGCTTCAAATGTGGGCAAAAGGTCAAACTTAACAGACTCCCCAGGATTGAAATAACGTGACATGTTAAACTGCAAGGAGAACCGCGTCTTGTTTATGGAAGTCAATCTCCAGGAGTCCCCGATACTGCTCCCCAAACGTGACTCTAGCATACCCAAGATGTCAGGTAGTTTGCTACTCAACTGGGAAGCGTTTTCAATACCGTTCATGACCATAACGCAATCCAGGTCGGCGTTGTTTTTTAATGCAGTGCCTTTTGCAATGGATCCACCCTAAAAAGACAAGGCACAGCTGAAGGAAGGAATCTAATCATAGCATTTTTTTTTTATTACTTTCGTGCTAAACTCACGACGACCGCGGCCCAAGATCTAGAAACCCCTCTGGGTTAGCAGAGGGGACTCCAAGGCCAAAGTTTCGGGGACGTTACTGTAACAGTAAAAAACCCGCGAGTAAGAACCTACATTTTCTGGAGTTAGCCTAAAAAAGTTCTTATTTAAATGGTAGTTAACACAATTTTAGGCCATTTAGGCTCTTAAATAGGTTCTTATTTCTGTAAATAAAAAAACAAAAAATACAAGCTACTAAACAAGATGGTAATCAGCCTATTTTTTAATTCAAAAAAGCGATACAACAATATTACCTCTTTCACTTTATTTTTTTATTATGTCAATAAGTAAGCACTTCTATTTGCACAGCAATGCCAAGCTCCTAATTCTCCAAACGGGATTCTTGTACAGCTTTGCCTGAGCTGCATTTCACTAATATGATTTTAAAAAATAAGAGCCTGTTTTTCATCATTTTCTAGGCTAAACAGGTTCTTGTTTATAGGGGGTATAAATGACAAATTTTATGCTAACAGGCTCTTAATGTTCAGGTTCTTACTCGTGGATTTTTACGGTAATCGTAACTTTTAACGATAAAAATCAACGATTTGGTATTAAAGCTACATACCCGGCCATGATTGCTGAGAAACGCTTACGAATTTCTTCTCCCCTTCCCCTTCAATGTTGATTTTGAAGACGTTTATGCCCAAGCAAACCCACGAAATATTTTTGAGGGAAGGAGAGGGAAGCGATACATGTATTCTTGGAACGACTTAGTTTATCTTGTACTTTCAGGAAGTGTTTTAACATGACCGGAGTTGTAGAAGTTATTTGCCGGTGTTTCAAATTTTACTATTTCCCAGCTTCTTTCACTGTATTAAAAAAACTATATTGCCTTTTGAAATAACTTGCAGAGGCAAACATTTCAACTGCCGGCTGGTTTTCCTGTACCACACCCTTTTGAAATACATCCAGTATCTTCTAGGGCAGGAGCCGATTACCTGTCTTGGGATATTGTTGAAAAATAAAGACCACTACAACGATAATTTAGCGCTGGTGGGGAGGGGCAGGGGGCTGTTTCAGCAGTTACCTTGATCAGGTTATGAATTCCATAGATTGTATACTCCCAGCCTTTCTGAAGTTTTCGGTACAAGGGATCAATGGCATTATTTAACAGACCATGAAATTCGTCATCTGGTTGGAGCTCGTCACTTACGAATTTATTCACTTCCAGGCTAGAGCAACCTTGTTCAAAGATTCCCTTCTCTTGCTTCCTCATGGAAGGAAGGGAAAGGAACATGGGAACGAGGTTGAAGGTGGAATTTTCTGCACCTGCAATTCGAGAAACAATTTAAGTCACTGTATGACAGATAGATATAGCCATACGTAACAAAAAAACCGTGACAGTACACCCTAACTACACCTTTAGACCTTTAGCGCTAAATGATAAATCTAGTTGTATTTTTTTTAATTGTAAGAAAATTAGGGTCCTGCGAATTAGTGCGGAAAAACGAACCATTGCAAAGTGTTACGAAAACAGCTTCAAGCGAGCAACTTCCAGGTACTTGTGTTTTCACCATGACCTGTCGATTTTTAAAACGATTGGAATATCTTTTAAGTCCGACAAACTAGTCAGCAAATTAATCTAACAAACCTGAAAATGGTATTTTTGACCCTCTAAGGTCGCGGGGACACCATATTCATAACTGGATAAAAGATGATGAAAGCATAATTTAAAGTTTCACGTGCACGTGACTGCCAAAATGTTTATTCAAAAGTAACAAATGGGCTTTGAATGGTAGTAAACCTTGTTTCAGGAATTTTTAAATCAATAAAAATAAAGAACTCTTTAGAAGTTTCCATCAGAGTTCGGCATCTGAACCGGGCCTTAGCCCATACGCCTATGCATCCCCGTAACCAACAAAGCTTACGATTTTTGCGTATTTAAATACATTTTCATTGTTCTCTGTAGCCCATCACTCCCTCTCTGTTAGGTCCTTAGATGAATTGATTCAGTAATGGGATGGTTTCCAATTTGAACTTAAAGACAAGGTGGAATCGTCTGCGTAAATGTCCATAGTTTACTTGTGAAAGTGGAGAAGCATATCGTTGACGAACAAAAGGAAAAGTACCGGTCCTAGAAATGCCCCTTGAGGTACAATGCGCACATCGACGGAGAAAAGCTTCTATTTTCGCGGGAGAAAAGTGCTCTAAAAATAAACCGGTCCGTAAAAACGGCGTGACGTAAGGCCTTGTATGGGACACTTTGGAAAATACCATTACAGTCTCAAATTGCCGTTTGGGTAGAGCTTCATGTAAATCTGACGTTCACATTATCTTTTGTTCTTTGCACGAACTGCGAGTGCAATGGCCGATTTCCAAATAATGCAGTGGAGCCCGGTTAATACGGACATCAAGGGGACGTGCCATGGTGTCCGTATTATCCGGGTGTCCGTAAAGTCTCCTAAAGCAGAAAAATAGGAAGAAGGGCAAGAGCAATGACTGCAGCAAAAACCCAAGGAAGTGAAACTTGTGTAGTGGGAGGCAGTAATCTTTCAGAACTTTACTGACGGGTTACAGTACAAGGGTCAAACGCGGGAAGAAAGACGGACTTAGATATTGCGAAACTGAAGTACGGTTTACACGAAGAACTACCCAAACGGCGCTTTGAGAATATTATGAATCGGTGATCGCTTCCGGCAATTCTACTTTTCGCTAATACCTGGAACTAGAAACTGAAAAACTCCAGAAAAATCACCTGCTTGATTAGTGAAATGCACGCAAAAACGAAAAATACGATACCTTTTTTTCGACACTCACCTTAAGAAAACTTGAAGTAAGTGCCCAAAATTTTTTTTAGATAAGATGGACTTTTTTAGGATTTTTTTCGTCCATTGCTTAAGTCAATTTTTCTTATGTGATTGTTGTATTTCACTTATCGCAAAAAAGGCAAAACGAGAAATTTCTCAAGTTTATTCAGTTTGTCGACATTTCATTTTTAATTCGGCTTCCTTGAACGACAGCAGTCAAAAAATGGCACCAAATGAAATGCTTGTAATTTGGCTTGCAATTTTTCGCACTCTGTTTCTGAGTTCTTTCAGGAATATAAACTTAAATCGATAAAAAGTCTCTAACTAATTTCAAACTTCGATGAAATCTCCACATAGCGTTGACGATAATTTGTTAAATTTCGTATAAGGTTGTTATTACGTATGCGCTAGCATTCGTTTGGACTCCCACTAAGAATGAATGGAATGTCTATCACTCGGAATCTGTTCACGCTTGTTTTGACCATCTAGCACATTCAGCTTGTATGTTTTGTTTTGCCATTTCAAACCACGTAATGTCTTTCAAACGTGCTACCCACAATATGTTCAAGAAATGTGAACATCATGGACTCCGCTGGGAACTTCACGTGCTCTGACTTGGGAAAAAAAACATACAAGCTAAAAATGGTCTATTGCGAAACTGTTTGAAAGAAAACTTGAACCGTTTTATTCACCCCTTTCCCTTTTAGTTATCGCTTTCAGTTTACTTTACAAATGTTGTAGCGTCAAAGCCTCGCTTTCGGTTAGAATTCGTCGCTCTAAGCGCCTTTTCTCAAGCTTCCTGGTTTGGCTTTCATTTTCTCTTCATATCGTACTCCTAAAGACTTCGGGTATTAGCTCACGTCCTGACATTGTATGTAAAAGTTATATTTTTGATCAATATTACCTTTTCTCTGGTGCCACTTGCCAGGGTTTTTCAAATGATTGCCTACGTCAACTTGGCGTCGAAAAGTCCGCTTCCGGGTACACAATTCGTATGAACAAGTGAATACTCCATAAAATGAATAATCACCATGTACATCCATTTGATGATCAACACGGCCAATTTCTGTGTTAAAACCCTTTAAGCAGATTGTACACTGATAAAGTTTTGATCGCCAATCCATAATCAGCTTAAACTACGTGAGAACGTACGTTGTAGGTGATGCTTTTCTTTGCTGGTTTGTGTTATTTGCATTTCACACGTTCATGCGCATAAGTGGCTTGACGTGGGAAATCCCCGACTTCGTCATGCAATGGTCATACCGAATATAACTCAAAGAATTGTTTGTTACTTCTTATTAACATCATGGCTGAAACATTGCTCATTTCTGTGTGTACTATTAAAGAGTAATAATTTGTTATATTTGATACTAAATATTTGAGATAACCCACTCTAGGCTGTTGTATTTTAAATTCGAGTTTATAATTGCTGGTTTTAAGATGACGTCACTTTGGCTATTCTTCATGCAAATTCTGAAAAGAATTGTTCTGTCTACCAGTGTGACCTTTTTTTTTCCTGGTTGAAAACCAGCTATGTCAGCTATATGTGGCCTCGCGTAATATGATAGTCACTTCCGAATATAACTCATATCTTGTCTGTTACTTCTTCAAGAACGTCACGGCTTAAAAAAAAATCCCAGTTTGAAGAGTACTTACAAAGCAATAATTTATACTATTTATTTCAAATACTTGAGTTAACCCGTTGCTGTATTTTAAATTTGACTTTATTTTTAGCGGGGTCCCACGGCCACCTGCCGGAACATATATTGATCAGGGGGTTCCCCGCTTAAATTCCCCTTATTTCAACAGCATGTGACATCAATATTTTTATTTCAAAAAATATGGTAAAAGAGCTCGCGGAATGCCAGCCATGCGAATAAACAAAGAAGAATCTTCTATGGGTTATATTTTTTTGGAATTTTTTGCGTCAAAAACTGAAGGAACATTAAACGAAACCGCAACTAACAAACCAAAACTACAAAACAACAAGATGCTATGAGAACGTGCAATTCGGCGTCGTGGTTGTGAAATTAATTGTGAATGCGAAGGAATAGTAAGAAATGATATTTTTCCGGATACCTTCCGTACAAATACTCTTACTTTTCTCCTTTGAGTGACAAGACGTCTTGACTTCTTCACCAGAAGTCTGCGAAGGGTATGACCGCGTTTCGATTATAATTTCTGCCATAAATAAATTCCGCACGACAAGACCTCAGTTTCACTTCCTTTATTTCCTCTATAACAACACTTTCCTTGTGTACTGACTTAACCCCATATCTTCTCCAGCAACGTAACTAACATCAGTACACTCCTTTACAAAACTTGGTGAAACTGTACAACCTCTACACCGAGGATAATTCATATACAACATCGCAACATAAGCTTTAATAAATTATTACATGAAACGCAATAACACGCAATACGAAAACAAGTACAAAAACACCTACTCTTCCAAAAAAAAACTAAAAAGAAGAACAATCAGTGATAATGATGCTTATCACAACGGTTACGAAACCACGGTACATGCGTTTTGCTTCTCCTTGTCATGCCTGGTTGACAATCTATCGCTTCCCGAATCGTTTCGTCTACTCGCAACTGAGCAAACGACCGTACCACTTCCTCGATCTTCCTCTTTCGAATCACTCTTGTTGCAATAATCTCCAGTAATCACTCTTATCGTTATCTGTCCCAAACGTTTTTCCATGAAGGCATGTAACTTGTATAATCTTGACTTTCTTAAAGATATCAGGGGCACCCAACGACAATTTTCGGAAAATATCTGTTCGGAAGACGATTTTAGATCTAGAATTTTCGGAACATTTGTTGTAAAATTTATTGCTTGCCTGCCTCTCCTAGGATTTTCGAACTTCTAAAAAATGTTATAATTGCCCATTTTTAACGAATTTTAACCCTTAAAAGGTCACCTAGAATTTTCGGGAGCCTTTTTCTTGCTGAAATTTTCGAAAAGGTTCATTTTGATCCCTATAATTTTCGGATCACTAGACTTTCAGCTAGGAAATCCGAGCAGATGAAAAATTTCTAGGGGATAAAAAGATGCCTATATCTACCGTTTAAATACTAAAATACGTTTAACAATGCTATGTTTAAGTGGTTTTGAACTATATTCTCGTTGGGTGCCCCTGAGATATCTCGAACAACTTGCGACCTCACTTCGGAAGCAAACTGCAAGTTTACGACATTCTTCAGCATCGCAAATCCTTTAATACTTTGCGCACCGCCTCAAATATTTATTGTACCCGAAAGATCTAGACGTGATCTCGCGAAGCAACTTTGGAACATTCCTGAGCAGCGCGAATCCTTTAATTCGCGCTCCGCCGAATTAATAAAAATTGTTCAGGCCCGCAGAAGGCTGCTGTTGCTGTCCAAAACAATGAGGGTCGTCTTTGAGGTGGCCCGAACCTATTTGTATGGGCGTTGGTTATATTTTTGAATCGCGATTTTCGGCAGGAATAATTTAACCGCTTTCCATGATTTTTGGCATCCTTAATAAAGAATGATTGAACTTTAAGAAAATATTATTTATTTTCCTGTAGGGGTATAAAAACGGTTGAGATATCGGCATATGTCTAAAACCGTATTTTTACAAAAATTGTCAATAATTTCGAAACCTTAAGACAGGTTTTTCTTTAACTTCGGCAAATAAGCCTCAGAGCTCTCTAGTTTTATATGTGCAAGTTTGAAGTCAATCGTGAGCGTAGAAGTCGCTGCACAAATAGCTGGTCAAGTTTAACCCTGAAATGCAACGCTAAAACATTTTCGAAAGTTGACGCATAAATAGAGGAAAACTGCCGGTGGACTTAATCTCCTATCTGCAAGGGTATTCTTGCCCAAAGCTTCAGTTGCAAGAATCTGAGTAATCAGAAACATACGGCGAATAGAGTTCGCAATACAAGAAGAACAACTTATGCTGATTGCGAGGCAAGATAAAAGAATTTCTATTTATCAAACTTTCTTTGTATTTGTCCCTCTCTTTTCGAAACCTATCTTAACAAGGCATATTATATTATTTACGAAACACTCAAGAGTTTTCAGCGTTGCAGGTTTCCGTTTTGAGCATAAATAAAGCCACCAACTCCAGTACTTCTAACCGTCCATTTTTCAGCTGCACTGAAAGCCCTTGTACTTGGTAATTTATTCAAGGGTCTTAGACTTGACGTCACGTTCGCACGGGAAGTTTGCCACTTGGGGATAAAGATGGAGAAAATATGACAAACGTCTTATTTTTTTATTATCCCCAATGGCAAAATTCCCCGTGCGAATGTGATGGCAAATCTTTCAAACTTGAATAAATTACGTAATACAAGGGTTTTCGTTGCAGCTGAAAATGGATCGGTTGAAGTACTGGAGTTGGTGGCTTTATTTGTCCTCAAGACGGGAACCTTCAGTGCTAAAAACTGGTAGGAGATTTCCGTAGATGTTATATCGTACTTTGTTGAGATTTTTTGCGAAAAGAGAAGGGAAAATACACAGTAACTTTGATAAATAGAAGTTATTCAATCTTGCCCCGCATTCAGCATAAAGTTGTTCTTCTTGTATTGCGAACTGTATCGCCGTAGGTTTTCTGATTACTCAGTTTCTTGCAACTGAAGCTTTGGGCAAGAATGCCCTTGCAGATAGGAGATAGTCTGTCGGCATTTGTCCTCTATTTGTGTTGCAACTTTCACAAATGTGTTAGCGTCGCATGTTAAGGTTAAATTTGACCAGCTACTTGTGCAGCGAGTTCTGCGGTCACGATTGACTTCAAACCTGCAGATATAAAACTAGAGAGCTATGAGGCTTATTTGCAGAAGTTAGAGAAAAATCTGTCTTAGGGTTTTGAAATTATTGACATTTTTTGTAAAAATTCGGTTTTAAACTTATGCCGATATCTCAACTCTTTTTTTATCTGCAAGAAAATAAATAACATTTTCTTAAAGTTCGACCTTTTTTTCTAAGGATGCCAAAAATCATGGAAATCGGTTAAATCATTCCTACCGAAAAACGCGATTCAAAAACATAACCAAAGCGCATATAAATAGGTTCGGGGCACCTTAAAAAGCGATGTGCTGATCACGGCCGGCAAAATTAAAATTAAGTGTGAAACATTGGACACATGCACATATGAAAAAGATATGTAAAGGTGACTCAACAATGCACTAAGCAGTTGAAATCCCAAACATCAGAATTTTTTAGCCCTCTTTAACTATTTTATAAACAAACATGATGCAAATTTCACCCAAATCATTGGCTGACCTCTTTTGAAAAATCCAAGATGGCCGCCAGCTGAAATCAGAAGTAAAAACTCTTGAATGCAGAGGTCCCCTTAATGCGCATATAAAACCGATTGCTTCTTTCTTGTCGGATCTCTAGTGTAGAGATGCTAATGCCAGACGTCACTTAAACAGCGAATTTTAAAACAAAACTGAATGCAAGGCTGGCTGAATGCGGCAATGAGCTGATTTGTTTGAGGCCAATATTTGGGCTAAGAAAATTAGCCTTCCTCAGGGCCAGAGCTACACTGAAAGAGAATGCAACAGCTCCTAAGATGCGAATTTAAATTTACATGAGAGGTTAATGATAAACTAAAAATGAGAACAATAGATAGCATGATAGAAAGGTAAATAATTATACAATAAAGTGATTGATAAGGTAAAGTTCAACGTTCGTTCTTGCGGTTTAAACCATCTGGTGAAAGAGTTTTGTCTCTATTTATGTGCTTCTCTTGCTTACGGCGTGACATACTAAGTGTAGGTTGAAGTTTAAGCGGAATAAGTTCTATGTCTGTGATTGAGTAGCCAGGTTGACTGAAGTGCGAAATCAGAAATTTGATAAATGATCACCTTGTTTTCAGTGACAATACACAAAATAGGGAAAATTATAAATGCTGACTCTGCCCAGTTCTTGGGTTCCTTAAGAACGTGGAGAATTGTTATCTTACTAAAAACTTTATCGAAATGCAAACCTAATGAACAGACACATTAGAAATAGATATTACACGGTTACCAAGATGATGATGCCATAAATGCCTGGTTGGGTAACAGTTAACAGTACACTGTTACCCGTGATTTTTGACCTCTCGCAAAGTTTATTTCAATAAATTTGTAAACGAAACGTTTTTCTTCTTGGGCTACATCACAAATCACTTAAAGACTGGTCCCTCGGGAAACATTTAATTTTGTTTCCCTCGAATCTCAATGTTTCCTTCGTCGCCTCCGCCTTGGGACACATTGAGATTCTCGGGAAACAAAATTAACTGTTTCCCTCGGGACCAGTCATTAAGTGTTCTCTCGTAAGCGACTACATTGGTAAAGTGGTCGTAACTAGAGCTGGTCGCTTACGAGCGTGGTCGCAACCCAAGGAGAGCTTCGACTGTATTACCTTTTCTCTCATGCCACTTGCCAGGGTTCTCCAGATGTTGCTTTAGGTCAAACTCGTGTCGAAATTTACGCTTACGGGTACAAAATGGATATGAACAAGGGATTGACCTTTCTCCTGAAAGTTGACAAACAATATAATTCAATATTATTCAGCCAAATGTTTGGGTTGTAACAGTACTGCCTTATGCGTCATGAATTTTCTAGATTATCTGCCCAACATCTCACCTTGACAAGAACTTTTAAGAGCATACAAGAAGGCCGTAGCTAGTAAGTACTAAGGAAATTGGTCGCATGATCAATAAATGACAATTTTGTGCCGCAAAACTAGCCCAAAGTGCAAATTATGCTTTCACTGCTTTTTTTTTTGGAAAAGCATAAAAATTATGCTCGTAATGACGAATTATGCCAAAACGTATGCCAGCACAGTCTATCAAAGCCTAGCTAAGCCTAGTTTCATCCACCCCTCCCCCCTTTTCGTTAAATGATCGACTACCTCATCCCTGCCTGATCAAACTGGCAACCAAACAATTACGTCATTTTTGGGGGGAAGCCGAATTGAAATTGCTTTCGGTTCCATTTTAATCCAGAGGGATTTAAGGTTTTCCGACTGATACAAAGCATTTTAACTAATTCAAAAAGTACCAAGGTAGTATCCCAGAGTAGAGACCGACTGAGTTATGCAAAATACGCAACTTTTCTTTTGAGCGACGGACTCTTACCGGAAGTGATGCTTTTTCCCCCTAAATCTTCCTAGACGCTACAGTATTTGTAGTAATAATTGCACAATGTCTTTACTCCTATAGAGACAATTTCCCCAAGACACGGGCAAAACCACTACCCAAGAATGCGAAAGGTCCTCTTCCGATTAGCGCTCGTCGCTCAAACACCTTTGTTTATGCACTTATGGGTACAAAATAGATACCTCTAATACCATGTAGGGCTCTTTGATGTTCAGCTCGGCCATAATCTGTGGCAAACCGCCGCTTGCCACAAATTGTACACAGAAAAGGTTTCATGGCGAATCCATAACTAGCTTTCTACCTGAGAACGAAGCTTCTTTTCTTAACTTTTCCGGTTTCAGTTTTGTTTGTATTTCACGCAACCATGCGCAGGAGGGAAATCCCCGCGCGACTTCGTCATACAATGGTCATATCGAATATAGCTCAAGAAATTGTAAACATCTGATCATGACGGAAAAAAATGGCAGTTTTTGGCGAGTACTAATAGAGGGTAAATTTGTCTAAAACGTACTAAATATTTGAAATAACCCACTGTTGTATTTTAAAAAAGAGTTTATTATTGCCGGTTGTAAGCTGACGTCACTTCCGCCTTGCTGGTGGCCAAGAACAAAAGCGTTCCCTTCTGTTGGAAACTCAACACTCTCTTCATGCAATGTTTGCGAAAAAATTTACTGTTTTGTCCACCAGCATGACCGCTTTGTCTGGTGGTTGAAAAGCAGCATATTTGGCCTCGTCATACGTTAGTCACTACCCAATATAACTCAGATCTTGTCTGTCAGTTCTGCAATAACCCCATGGCTGAAAAATCCCAGTTTTGGAGTACTATTAAACTAAAAAGTTATACTATGTACTTGAGTTAGCAACCGTGGTATTTTAAATTTGACTTTATAATTAGGGATGCTCCCACCGTACCTAACGGGTTTTCTTTCCTATTTTAGTCAGAAATTATATGTTAATAAGGGGGTGTTAATTTATGCGTTGTGCTCTTTTTGGCACGGTACTCGACGGGCACTTTACGTGTCTCAATTCCCCTTCTAACAGTATATGACATCAAAATTTCTATTTCAAGAAATGTGGTAAACAATTCATAGACTTGCCATCTGAAATTACAAAGTAAAATCTACTGTGAGTTATGGTCAGTTATATCATTGATGCCTAATTCTTGCGTCCAAAAAATTTGATTCCTGTGCATGCGCGCACAAAGGTATTCTCGTTACCAGGGCATTCTCGTTCGCTCGTTCCCACATCTTCGATCCTTTTGTACGGTACGTAAGTCATGTGTTTCATCTTCACTGTTAGAACAAAGATTTACTGTTTATCTCACCCATAAATCGTGAAGTTCCATAAACAAGACACTACAGTCACTGAGGAGTTTCCAAGTACTCGCAAAACGAGTACCCTCAGGAGAAAAGAAACCAACATGGCGGTTGATCAGACGGAACACCTGTGCAGTCAAATTGGACCCAACAATTAATAGCATAATTAGAGAAGACGGATTTAACCTCTATCGGTTCTTTTACGTATACTTTGATAGTTGACTTTATTTATGGAATAAAAACTCTCGTAAGCGGCATGGCAGATTCCGGAAGTAGGGAAAAATCGGGCACATGTCCTGTGAGATTACATCACGTTAAGTTAAAGGCTGTTTCGCAGAAATTGTTGGTCTCATTAGCAACTTATTTTGAGGAAATCCTACTTTAAAGATTAAGCTTATGTTTTAAATCATCAAGTAACTTAATGAGAGCCCTTCTCCCGGCTTTTAACCCTCTTGGGGGAGGGATACTCGACCAATAATTTGGGTACATATACATAAGTAGGTGAGCCGCTGAGGGTTTGAAACTCTGACTCTGTTTAGTACAAAAAAGTTCCTAAAATACTTACCCTATTTAGGACAAGAACAAAATGCATGCCATCTTGTGTCAAAGCTTTGCAATACGGCAAATTCATGTTAAAGTCATTGCATTTTTATCCTTGGAGTATGAGTAAATTTTGTGAATTGCTTGCTCCATTCCCGCGCCGTTGCTGTTCAAACTATACTAGATAGCTTTTCAGTTCGATGATGAAAAGAAGCCAGAAGCCTATAACCCTCCTGAAGAAGCCCAATTTAAAATCTTGGTAAATGGTTTTGATGACCCCCTCACCACTCTGAAACTTCCTGGTCCACAGTAACCATAAACAAACACGAGGCAAATTTCAGATTTTGACCCAAAATCATAGGTGAACCCCTTTGGAAAATACAAGATGGCCACCAGCTGAAATCCGAAATTTGGTAAATGATCTAGGTGCCCTTGTCACCGACTCAAAATGTCATCGAGCAGCATTTTCTTACATATTTTTGAAATTACACAAAAGAGGGGAAATTTCAACTTTGCTGAGTTCTCGGATTCCTAAACAACGTGAACACTTATTATCTTACTAAGAGCTTTATTAGATTGCAAAGCTTATAACTACTAACAATAATGTACTAAATAGATATCACCCGGTTACATAGTTGGTGACGCAAATACATGCGTTGTTGCTAAATATAACCTAAGAATGCTACAGACCCCAATACCCTAATCCTCATAAACTGAATAACTATTAAAAAGGCCTCGAGACAAATCCGAATAGAAATGTCTTGGTTTTGAAATTGATAGCATGTTAACCTATTGATAACAGATTGCGGAAATAAAACTTGGGAAACTCCAATGACTGGCAAGACTGGTCTTCTCGTTGATTTAACATCTTTTTTAAAGTAAAGTTATTATCCTGTGAAGAAAAAATCTAATAAATCGTTGTTCTTCTGACTTCATTTCCAGTTAGCAGAAACCCACACATTTCTGAGAAGGGGTTTCTGCGTGGTTTCTTCTGCAACCCTTTTCACCTCAGGCCAACAGTTAACGTCGTCGTACAGGTTTTTGGTTGGATTTGCTGGGTCAATGATATATGGCCCACGCTTAAGACTGTAATGCAAAAAACGAAAATATGCCATAAATAAAATTCTCCAGTAAAAGAAAATTCGTTTAATTGCTATATTTTTTAAATTAGCGTGTTTCGAATTTCTTGCCTCGAGAGACATTCTATTAGATTTTGCAACTAATAACAACCATAATAATAATGATAATAATAATAATTCCGTTATTTACCCTCGGCAGTGTTTATGGCACTAATGCTAGCGGGGGCGAGCAAATATCTGAAACAAATATTTTAAATCAAACTTACATGTAACAGGGGTAAGAATCCCAGCTGGCTATTAAATTTTACAAACATGGCCGAGGATTTGATCTCGGGACTACCGTGAATAATTCCAGCTAGTGGTCAGAGCGACGTCAACTCGGGGCCTCCGAATTGCAAATCCAAGCTCTCTAACCACTCGGCCAACCGATTAAAATAAGGTAAAAAGGGAATACCAGTTAATATGTCCTCGAGAACTTAAAAAGCGGCTCCTTTATCCTAGTTACATTAATTTTAAAAACTCCATGAATGTACCTGCTTGGAATTAAATCCTCTCTGTAGTAATCTCCCCAAGAAACACGAAGACGTTGGTGATTCTTTAGAGCTTCTATAACAGCTGTAAAGCCAATCTTCACGTCAAATCTCTCTGGACGATTTGCATTTTCCCAGGCATGTATTGTGAGAAGCTCCAGTAGATAAGAGGGCGGAAGGCGCTTACCACTTTTCTTTGGGAGGAACGTCTTGCGCCAATACTTCACCAATCGAATCAGGTCTTTTACGAGTGCAGGCCGTTCCGTGACGAAGTGTCTTTGAATCAACACAAGGGCAGCCGAATAATATTGCCAGTTGGTTGTGTCGTGAAGCATGTTTCTGTAAAACCTCTGCCGCTCTAAGACATTGAATAGATTCAACATTTATATAAAATTATTTTTACTAAACGCTGATGAATCACTTCTCAAAATTATGCATCTTTGTAGCTACACTGAAAGCAGTTGACCAACGACCCTATTAAGTCGTTTAATGTGCGCAAAGGTTATGTAGGTCTGTTGCACCTACATATAAAATGTTAAACTCTATAGTCGGGATGAGGGGACTACTGCCTACAAATGCAGGGAATTTGATTTCAGCAACTGTCCCTCGTAGGGATTTGAGTGTGTGCAAGCCCATTACTAATGAGACGAATTTCGCTCCTGTTGTTAGCAAACTAATGGAAGATATTGATGGCAAACAAAATTAAAGGAATTGTTTTTAAACAATTCATTTAAAATTTGTTGCAACAAAGTTAAGACCAGTCTTTTGTCCAAAAAAAAAATGAAAACACTGAGATGAAAAGGAAATGAAGTGAGCACAGTGCAGCGTTGGTTATACAAGTGACAGAAAAATTTTCGGAGTTTCTTCAAATTAATTTGAAAGAAAAAGAATTCAGAATGATATGAAAGAAGTATTAGTGATGAAGATAAAATATAATGGAAACGCATGTTACTTTGACCAAAAAGGGAAAACAAAACAGATCTTTAGCTGATTTTGAACATTTTCGGGACTTATTGAAAACCGGGTGAACAATTATAAGGTAAAAAGCAGCTGCCGATGAATTAAGTTAGGTTTGGTTATGAACATTGAGTTAACTGGGGATTTCTTCAAGGGGGCCTCTCATTGAAGAAGCCGTACACTAACTACTCTATGAGTAACTCAACATTGAGCCTCTTCCGGTTACGTACGTACCATCGATGTCCCGTACGTTTGCTTCAAATGTTGGCAAGAGATCAACGTCAACAGACTCCCCTGGGTAACGAGACATGCTAAACTGCAGGGAGAACCGCGTTTCCTTCTGCTCAGAAGCCAATTTCCATGAGCCCCCAATGCTGCCCCTCAAGCATAACTCAAGCTTACGCTTGATGGCGGGTAGTTTCTCTCTCAACTCTGAAGCGTCGTCAATGCTGTTCATGACCATCACGCAATCCAGGTCGGCGTCGTTTTTTATTGCAGTGCCTTTTGCTATGGATCCACCCTACAAAGACAATGTAGGCGTGTAGGATCTACTCACAGCATTTTTTATCGCTTTCGTGCTACACTGACGAGACCACACGACAATCGTGATCCTAGGTCTAGCTAGAGGGCCGGGGACTCCAGGGCAAAAGTATTGGATACGCTTATCTTAACTTTTAGTGGTAGAAGCAACGATTTGGCATGAAAGCTACATTCCGGTCATAATTGCGAATTTCTTTTCCCCTTCCCCATCAATATTGATTTTGAAGACGTTTATGCCCAAGCAAACCCACGAAACATTATTGAGGGAAGGAGAGGGAACCGATACATGTATTAGTGGAACGAATTAGTTTATCTTGTACTTTCCGGAAGTGTTTACATGTAACATGACAGGGGCACCCAACGACAATTTTCGGAAAATATCTGTTCGGAAGACGATTTGAGATCTAGAATTTTCGAAACATTTGTTGTAAAATTTCTTGCTTGCCTGCCTCTCCTAGGATTTTCGAACATCTAAATAATGGTATAATTGCCTATTTAAAACGGATTTTTACCCTAAAAAGGTCACCTAGAATTTTCGGGAGCCTTTTTGCTGGCTGAAATTTTCGAAAAGGTAAGTTTTGATCCCTATAATTTTCGGATCACTAGACTTTCAGCTAGGAAATCCGAACAGATGAAAAATTTTTAGGGGATGAAAATATGCCTATATCTACCGTTTAAATAGTAAAATGCGTTTAACAATGCTATGTTTAAGTGGTTTGACAGTATATTCTCGTTGGGTGCCCCTGACATGACAAGGGTCGTAGTAGTTATTTACCCGTATTTCAAATTTCGCTATTCGCTAGCATCTTCGAATGTATTAAAAACTATCGGAGAAGCAAACATTTTCAACTGCCGCCCATTTATTGTATGCTACGTCCTTTTTAAGACATCCAGTATCTTATAGGGATATTGTTGAAAATTAACGACATCTACAACGATACTTTTTCCCCGGCGTCTTTCTCAACCACCCAATTTTCGAGGGCGGGGAGCGGGGCTGTCTGACCACCAACCTTAATCAGGTTATGAACTGCATACTCTGTACCCTGCAAGTCTGTCTGAAGTTCTTTGTACAATGAATTAAAAGCATCATTAAAAAGACGATGAAATTCTTCATTTGGCTGTAGCGCATCACGTATAAATTTGTTCAAATCCAGGCTAGAATTATCTCTTATATCATCTGAAACTAAACAAACAATTAAAAAATTAGTCTAAATTTTTTTGAAGTAGAAGGACTGTCCAATTCATAACGGATTATTTAGCTCTTTGCACACCTTACCTTCACAAGAACTTGAAAAGCATGCAGGCATAGAGCACAGCTAAATAGTTAGATCTAGTATTTTTATTTTAAAATTCGTAAGATAATTATTACAGCCCAATAATATGGAGTGGTGCGGGGAAACACTGAAGTCAGTGTTGTGATTCGGGTAAAATGGAAGCGGCTTCAATCCAATTTTCTCGCATAGCTAAAAAGCCTCTGTATAATCTCGTAATAAGATGAAATCAGCAAATAGCAATACATTTCATGGAATTAAACAAATTTACGGACGATAATTTGTTAACTTTTTCGCGTATTTTTATTCCTATTTCCAGCCTTCCCCTACTTGATCTGATGGGCCACCAACAATTAAGTCGCTTCCGAGATGCCCTGGCCTAGGTCTCTGTTTCAAAGAGAGTTTAAGTGCGAAGCCACTGATGTGAAAATGATCTTTTATTCTCATGCAAATATGAATCATTTTCATAATTTAGCACTTAGCCTCGTTTTGAAAGTGAGAGTTTTTGGAATATCACTTCACTCGGCGCTACATGTGTAATTAAGCACCTATTTTGGGACGTAATTTACACTGCTCTCACTTTCACTTTAACCCAGTGGGACTTAAAGTCATTTTACTCGTTCACAAAGTACCAATGTGGTACCTGATAAAAGAAAAAGTTATACAAAAATACGCGACTTTTCCTCTGTTTTTGATGAACGGACGCTGACCGGAAGTGCGGCCTCATTCCCCTTTAATACGCCTTGGCTCCCCAACTTTTGTTGTGATTGCTATATGTGTCTTGACTCTTATAGAGACGATGTTTCGACGATTTGGGCAAAACCACTGCCTCAGAATGCTAAAGGCCCACTTCCGCTTAGTGCCCATCGCTCATTACAAACGCCTTTGCGTATAATACGCTTACAAGTGCAAAATGGATACCTGTATAACGATGTACATCTCTTTGATGTTGAGCACGGCCATTATCTGTGGTAAAACACTTTCGACAAACTGTACACTCAAAAGGTTTGGATCCATATCGCGAAGCCATAATTATATGAGAACGTAGCTTGTCCAGTGAGAGTGAAGCTTTTCTTTGCTGGTTCGTTTTATTTGTATTTCACAAGTTCATGCGCATAAGTGGCCCGAAAGAGGGAAATCACCGACTTCGTCATACAATGGTCATCCTAAATTTCCACCAAATTATAAATATCATGGCCTTGGCAAAAAATGCCAGTTTTTGGCTAGTACTTATAGAGGGTTATAATTTGTTCTAAAAGTACTAAATACTTGAAATAACCCACTGTTTTATTTTAAATTCGAGTTTTATATAATTGCTTGTTTTCGACTGACTTCACCTCGGCCATGCTGGTGAACAAGAACAAAAGCGTTCCCTTCTGTTGGAAGCCGAAACACTCTCTTCATGCAAATTTTGCGAAAAAAAATTATCCTTAAAGTTTGACTCCTTTGTGGAGTAAAAATTACTCTGAGAGGGATTTTAAAATGGCGTCCACTTGGCAGTTGTTTCGTAATGCTGAGTTTAGGCGAGTTAAGGCGAGATAAGGAAATTTGAACATATTCTCAAGTTGTGAGTTAGTAGGCCTTCCAAAAGTATGGCCGCTTTGTGGCTTGCCGTTGCTGAAACTCAGCAATATGTGGCCTCGTCATACGATGTTACTTCTACGGGAACGTCATGGCTGAAGAAAGAAAATGTCAGTTTTTGAGAGTACTAAAAAACAATAATTTATACGATGAATTTCAAACACTCGAATTAACCCACTGTTGTCCTTTAGATTGGACTTTATATTTAAGGGGGTTCCCCGGCCACCTGCGACGTTTTCTTTTCCTTGCTTTAGGCAGAATCCCCTCATTAATCAGGGAGTCTCCCCGCTTGAATTCGCCTAATTTTCAACAGCATATGACATGAATGTTTTCATTTTAAAAAAAATATGGTCAAAGATCTCGCAGAAAGTACCAGAGATGTGAAATAACCAAAAAGAAGAATCCACCGTGGGTTATGTTTCCAGTTATTTTTGAGTTAAAAAATGCTAAACAACAAACAAACGAAACGAAATCGAAACTATTAAGCAAGCAAAAAAACAAAGCAAAAATGAAACTATAAGTGCAGGTGACGTTGTTTCGCTTTCAGGTGAAAACAAAGAAAAGACTGAAAAGACAGTAAAAATGGTTCTTGATTTACCAGATTTACGCCCGCAGAAGGCTTTTGTTGTTGTCATTTTTTCCTTTCATAAAAAAAGTGAGGGTCGTCTATAAAAACAACGATGTGCTAATACCGGCTAAATTAACGTTTAGTGTGAAAAATTGGAAACATTTAAATAGGAGATGTAAAGTTGAATCAACAATGCACTAGTCAACTGAAATGCCAAACATCGTTTATTTGTTTTCGTCCACTTTAGCTATTTCAAACGAACATGGAGCAAATTTCATCCAAAATCATTGGCTGATCTCTTTGGGAAAATCCAAGATGGTCGCAAGCTGAAATCAGAAACTGAGATAATTAAATGATCACCAAAATGGCGCCAAACAACACTTTCTTGCATTGTTTTGACAATACATGAAATAGAGGAATTTTCAAAGGCCGACTCTGTGCAGTTCTTGGGTTCCTTAAGAACGTGGAGAATTGTTACCTTATGCAAACCTCTGAACAATCACATTAGAATAGATATCACGCGGTAGCCGTCTAGTACATGAAGGATATATCTATTTGGCGTAAGCTTAACATTAAAGAATAACCCTTTGATGATACCATAAATGCCTGGCTGGAACATGTAACCTTGAAAATACCACAGACCCAAAATAGATTTGCACAAATTTTCGCCTTGCAAATATGTCGCAAATTTGTAGAAAAAAAGGAGGAGTAAATATGGGGCAAAGATGGTAAATGTCACATTTTTATACCAAAAAACCACGGGGGTGTAAATAACTAGGCGGATGTGGCATTTACCATCTTTACCCCAGATTTACTCCTCAGTTTTGTGCAGATTTGTGCAAATCCATTTTTTCGTCCGGTGTAAGTGCTAAACCGTGCTATAATCCGGCTTTGGCTTGGTTAAACCTGTCTCGCTAGTTAACTATTCTACCTGCCAGCCAATTAAGCGCACTAACTCGTCCTAAATTATTACAAAGGATACTTATATTTTCTATTGGTTTCGTTGTGTCAAGTTCGCATAGGGTTAGATAATTTCCTGTAAAGAAGCCATATTAAGGAGACAGAATGCCTCTGTAATTTTAAAGACAGAGAGAGAAGAGATGGGATTTGATGATGTTAACGATGTAAGAGAGAGATGAGATGTTATGACAATATGATTATAATGCTGGTTATTGTTTCAAGGTAAAAGTTGTGTTTAACGGCTTTATCAAGATCCCGAGGTACCTCTCAGCTACCACCAACAGTCAGCTATTTTAATTAATTTCCCCAATATAATTCTGGTACACAGATACTTATCTTCCCGGAAATGAACGCACGTTCAAGATGATAGACACAACCAACAACTTAGTGTTTTTTTTTTAATCCTTTTATTTTAAAGGCCCCTCGATTGAGATTACAGACTCTGCCATGTGCTTTTCCGCTGATCGATGAATCGATAATAATCTCGAAAATGACCCTCCGCTCTCAGAACCTGTCGATCTTATGGCGCCTGACTAGTTCAGGAAAGAGAACTTTCGCAAATTTATATTACTCCTTTATAAATTAAGAAGGGTCATTTAGCAGCTGCTCGGAAGAGAAGTCACCAACGGTGCCTAGCCCTAACCTAAAAAAATCGTAGTTCTTTAACTCCAGTTATCAGTAACCCGTACTACGTCACTGAGAAGGGGTGTCTGCATGGTTTCTTTTGCAACCTTTTCCACCTTATCCCAGCAGTCAACAGCGTCGTACAGGTTGTTGGTTGGGTTTGCTGGGTCAATAACATGTGGATCCTTAAGACTAAAGTGCAAAATATCACTAAAAAGGAGAAAAAATAAAATACGCAATAAATAGATCAGTTATATGATAGAAAATTTGGACGATTGTGTAATTTTACAATTACCAAGACGTTTTATGAATTTCTCACCTAGAGAGCTATTCCTAGCTTTATGAAATTAAGTGAAAAGTTCATACAAAAAGGATAAGGGACTCAGGGCCTCAGAAGGAGGAAAAGGGGAAAGTTACCGATTTACAAACATCCCAGGGGGACTGTGTCCTCGAGAAAGCAACTGGAACACGTGAAAGCACCTCTTTAAACTTCTCTGGTAAACTGATTCTAAACACCCCATGGAAGTACCTGTACTTAATGAATATACTCTTCGAGTAGTTATCATCCCAAGAAACACGAAGGTTGCTGTGATTCTCTAGAAGCTCCATAACAGCTTTAAAACCAATCTTTATGTTAAACTTCTTGGGACATTTTGCTTTTTCCCAGGCATGTATTGTGAGAAGCTCCAGTAAGTACGAGGGCGGGAGTCGCTCGTGATCAATCTGTGGAATGTACGTCTTGCGCCAATACTTCACTAAGCGAATCAGGTCTTTTACGTTTGAAGGCCGTTTGTCGACGAACTTTACTTGTAACTTCACAAGAGCAGCCGAATAGTATTCCCAGTTTTCTTTATCGTGCATCATTTGCCTGTAGAACTCTGCTTTTTCTAAGAGAACATTAAATTTCTCCTCAGATTCAACATCATAAAAGATTTACATAACTCGCTTCTCACGGATTGCGCACATGTGTAGCTTCACTAATAAGCAGTTAACCAACAATCTAAAAATCACTGTTGAAATCATTGAAGCTACGCCGATAACTTTAATGGAGAAATTGCTTATTGAGGACTGGTGTAGCTGGAGAAAACAAGTCCAGCAACAAGAAACAATAAAAATGAACCAAAATAGAGAAAGAAACAAGAAAAAAAACTCTAGCTGGCCAAAATAGCTAAGCAAGTTTCAGTGACTATATTAAAATCTATTAAGATACGTTGGGTTAAGAGTGTTGACTTTAACCTTGTCCCCACCATTTTCCTGCGCGCTGAAAAGTCCTGGGGTCCGCTTCTCGGAAGTCGCGGTAACTTTATGGGACCGAAACCAAATATTCAAATCAAAATCTAAAGAAAAAGAGCGCGGGTGCTAGCTAACAAAACAGTCTATTTTGTTTTGTTAACTGATTGTTTTATCATACTGAGCCCTCGATTTTAGTGTAAAGAATAACAGCTTTCTGGGTTCGTTAATTAATTATCGGGATTTTCGAGATACGGGCCCCCGTGCCAAGGTCAAGGTTTATTTTTTATTTTTGTATGACTAGAAATTCCCCATCTCCAAACACTATAAGGAGAATGAGTTCAAACTTTAAACAACGATTTCTGGGATCGTTTGGATGGAAAATCGTGTCTTCTGATTGGTTAATGGTTGCCTTGAATAAAATCGGCCAATCATAACTAACGCTTGTCCTCTCAAGCGATCCCAGAAATCGTTGCGCCGAAAACTTAAGCTCATTCCCCTTATATATATTTCTGGAGTGGGGAACTGGGGAATTTTTCTTAAAATGGGAGAAGCCCTGGGAAAGAGGTTTTTTTGAGTTATCAATGGCTTGGGAAGGAAGCCATGTACTGACAAACTTAATTATGAGCAACTCAACTAGCCTGCAATTCTTGTGATTATTTAAGCAATAGAAAATGTTTTCCGTGTTTGCATAGCCTGATATAAACATGAAAGGGGTTGGGAGAATTCGAGACAGTTATGCAAACCCGAGATGAAGTCGAGGGTTTGCATAACTCCCAACCCCTCGAGTGTTTATATCAGGATATGCAAACACAGTAAAAAAGTTTGCTATTGCTTTTATAAAATAACTTTGCCGAGAAAAAAAACTGATTAACTCTTTGTTATGGCACTGATTAAAACAGAAATTCTTACCAGTCCCAAAGTCTTGTACCCGAAGTCTTGCACGCGTAACCAGTTCTTGTTTTGCAAAAAGATGCTTTCTGAAATACGGATTTTTCTCGCTTAAAATGACAGCTTTAGCGAAAAAAAATTTGACACAGCTTGTTTGTAAAGATTGTTCAAGTTTCTGTTTCAGCCGACGAAGGAATGGGTGAATAAAGTAACCTTGTCGAGTTTTGAACTCAAAAACTTTTTCAAATTCGTACTTACGTGATTAGCGCGCGAAAAGCAAAACATCTTGACGTCACAATCATGTTTACATACTCTCACGCAAACACGCCTCTCGGCCAATCAGAGCGCGCGTACTATCTTAGCTATTTTATAAAGGTACGTACCAGCATCGGTGCTTTCTACGTTTGCTTCAAATCTTGGCAAGAGGTCGACCTTAACTTCTTCAGAATAACGTGACATTTTAAACTGTACCAAGTATGTAGATTTCTTTATGGATTTCAATTTCCATGGGTCCCCTTTCCATTTCATCTTCAAGCGTGACTCTAGGTCAGTCAAGATGACGGGTAGTTTCCCACTCAACTGGTCAGCGTCTTTAATACTCTTCATGACCATCACGCAATCCAAGTCGGAGTGTTTTTTTAGTGCAGTGCCTTTTGCAATGGATCCACCCTACAAAGACAAGGTAGGTATGCAGAATCTATTCATAGCCGGAATTTTTTCAGTCACTTTCGTTCTACATATTTTCGCAACATCTCGACTCTTGATACTGTCCTACTCGTCAAGATCGACACTGAGGGGACCAAAAGTATCAGTCTATCGCCTGGGAGGTTACTTAATGACCTTAATCTCATTTCTATTTATTTGTAATCAACTCAAACTACGTATATTTTCCAACACTTTCCAGTCATCTGCTTTCGATCAAACCTGTTTAAACGCATATATTACACGTATTCTTTATTTAAATGCAAGAAATATCATCACCATCTTTTCGACGGTCATTCCCTGGATCCGACCCATTGCAGGATGTCTCACCAGAACTATTTTGCAATTAAGTAGCGTGCGTAGCGGGAGTCGAAATGGGTAGGGGATAGGGAGGAAGGGAAAAAAGGAGGGGGATTGGGGAGAGAGGGTAAGGGACACCTGCTATAAGAGCACCCTGGACACTGGCGTCCTCAAATTCCTTATTAGCCTCCCACGCAGGCGTTTTTAGGGGAGCTCGTTTTTCGTCCCTCCCCACAAACGCCTGCTCAACCGAGAACAACATTCCCTTCCCATTGTGGTAAGTGACCAATCAACAGTTGTGAAAGTGTTGACAGGCTAAACACGACTCATAACCTTGTGGTAATGTAAAAACGTGACCTCAGAGTTACCTTTTTCCTTCTTTTCTTTCCTTCGCTAAGGTTGTGCAGTGAACGGAGTATTCTAAAAACTGACTAAATCTTACTTTCAGTTTTGCCGCTCTGAGTCTAACATTTATTAGAGGTCATAAAGCTTTCCTTGTGTTTCATCCGGTCAAGGTCAACTTTCCAGAATTTGGAAAATACAGTGTGATTGGCTAAGCTTGGGAAAGGAGTATTGTTTTCAGTTGAGCAGGCGTTTGTGGGGAGGGACGAAATACGAGCTCCCCTAAAAACGCCTGCGTGGGAGGCTAATACGCTTATCGTAAATCGTAAATCTACTCATTGCGCATATTAAAAATAAGACTAAAGCAAACATTTCAACTGCTAGCTGATTTTGGGGTGCTACTTTTTAAACACATCCAGTATGTTCTAGGGATTTTGTTGGAAGTTAACGGCATCTAAACCGATTCTTTTACCTCTGCGTTTTCTTTCGAGTGGTTGGGGACCGTTGAGGGGCGGGGGGAAGGTTGTCGCGCAACTAACCTCGATCAAGTTATGAATTCCATAGAATGTATCCCGCAAGAGTCTTTGTAGTTCTTTGTACAAGGAATCAATAGCATTATTATACAGATTATGAAATTCTTTATCTGGCTGCAGATAATCACGTATGAATATATTCACTTCGACGCTGGTTAAAGCTCGATCAAGGAGTCCTAAAAAAAAAATTTAAGTCAATGTTACGAAGTGTAGTTCTTGGAGGCAACTGGATTGCCTAATTAATCGTAAATTTTCTGGGTTCGTTTGCACAACATCTCAAGATGTAAAATGATCTAGTTATTTATTTTAAATTTTGTGAGAAAAATTTCCGGCCCCGTGGAGTGGGCGGAAACACTAGCGAACTTCTTGAAATTGTCTTGTGAAGCCAATAGCAGGCATCTAAGGCCACTATGAGATCTTGAAAATTCTCCAAATCGCTCTCTTCCGTAATGGAAGCAGTGCTTTGATCCCTGGGTTTGATTCATCTCTCTTTATACGAGATGCGAACTCGACCGTGTCACGATTGAAATGAGGCATAGTAACAGTTTTACCCATGAACCTTTGTGGGTTGTGACGCACACCGCCTGACGAGCGACTGAGGTGTGTTACAAAGCAGTAAAATGATGCTTCACTCTAATTTCCCTGCTAGCAGCTGCTTTTCTACACTCACTTACTATTGCTTTCAGGTTTAAATTCTTATTCATCCAGTAGGATTTAAGATTTCAACTGATAAAAGGCATTTTACAAGTTCAAGAAGTACCAAGCTAGTATCTTGCTAAGAACGCAAACAGAAAGAAAAATACTCAAAATATGCGACTTTTCTTATTTTGTATTAGTCTATGAGCAAGCTCTCTGAGGCGCTCTGGCCTTCGGCCAACACCGAAAATTCCCGCCGCACGCGAGAAAAACCTCTGGTACCCAAGGTAGCGGCGGGGCCAAAAGAGAGCGTGAAGAGCTATTTTCGTGCTAACACTAGGGTAAGGCGTTTTTGAACGACGGACGCTAACCCGAAGTGAGGCCTTTTCCTTTTAGGTATGTATCTACGCTACATCACTTGTGTGACATGTATCGCTAATTGTATACAACTTTGCCCATAGATGGAACGGGAGACTTGTTCTGAAAGCCGGCAACCTTCAAAAGTAAGACAGCGGTGCTGCAGTTTATGTTGGAAGCTCCCGGTACACAATCCTTTGAATTTACTGTTCACAAATAGTGACTGAATAAATTAATCGGACATTTTTATTGGTCAATAAGATCAAAATAATAGGAATGCTATTGAACGTTGTGCGCCGTAAGGTCCATAAAAACTTGATAACAAAAGGTCCACTTCCGGTTGGCGTCCTTCGCTCAAAAAGTAGCTTTCGGTTTCCCTTTGTGCCGTGAGGAAGCTTGTTTTATGAGTCAAATGAGTCTATAAGTTATGAGTCAAGTTATGAGTCAGATCAGCGTTGAATGCTGAAAATAGTGATCAGGTTTAAGCACTGACTACAGTGACTGGGTAAGCACTGACTATAATGAGCCTCTCTGGCTACGTGCGGACGTCGGTTTCGTCGCGCGCTTTCCATCAAGTCGGCGATTTCGTCATTAATTATAACTATTACAAAATTCTTAAATCTGATTGGCTATCAACAGCCCTGATTTCAGCCTTAATAGGACAGTTAAATAGGACAGTACGCGTCATGCCTAAGTAATTGGACAGTACGTGCTAACAAAAAAAATCTCGGAATTTCTTGTGTTTTGATTCAAAAAAAGAGCCTAATATATCACAAATTTTGTTGAAGTCATGATTAATTGGTAACAGAACTTCATGTCGTTCAATTCGATCTGTAATGACCGAATTTATACTAGGACGAGTTATCCGTCTAGACAAATTATCCGTCAGACGAATCAGCCTCATACGAAGTTTGCTCCATAATTCCTCTTGGCACCGAATTTATACTAGAGCACGGGTTATCCGTCTGAGACGGATAATCCGTCAAGACGGATAATTCGTCTCTAGTATAAATTCGGCCAATCATACTCGTGATTAAACAAATCGGACGACCGCGTGCTAATGACGAGTATGATTACAGACCGAACTGGACTCCGCTCAGTCCTGCTACCATTACTTATACTACTACATAAGAAATTTCTGTAATTTGATACAAATACCCATACAGAGTGTCTTTAGTTTTTAGGCAGGGTTAAACACTGACTCGATAACAGTAAGCATTCAGTGATTCTTTTTCTTTTAAATGACTCATTGACCCACCATACCGTATCATTAGGACTAAAGTATAAATAAACGTTTATGTAGAACTCTTATAATTGCTAGTATTACCTTTTATCTTATGCCAATTGCCTGGGTTTTCCCAATGTTGCTTTACGGCGAGGCGGGTAAACTTGTACTGAGATTGAAATTTACGTTTACAAAATGGATATAAACAATATATGTCACCTGAAACGCGAAAAAATATTAAGTTACTTAAATTCACTATGAATTGCCCAACATCAGCTTGACAAGAACTTTTAATAGCATACAGGTAGACCATGGCTAGCAAGCAGACCATGACGAGAGCTCCATGACAGGATTGGACGTCCAAATTTAACAAAAACTTCAGTGCCAAATGCAGAAACCCTAATATATAGATTTAGCCAGGGCTAAAAGCAAAGCTCTCGTTAATATTTATAGTTTACTCAAACGAAATATAAAATCGTGTAATGCTAAACGGCGACGGCAACGAGAACAGCCGAAAAACATCAGTATATCTAATTGGCAAAAAACAAAAACTTTGCACGTGCAGCACACTTTTTATCTCTAAAAGGCTGGGAGGGACGTTCGTACGGACGATTTTCTCAGAACCAAAGGTTGCTTTCCTTTTGACCAATCTAAATCTGGATTTTGAAATCTGAAATTTGATTTTTAATTCATTCCACTATGGACTAAACCAATCTAAGATTGCAGTCTGAACTATCCACCTCCGATCCGCACTTGGATGGTTCAGATTGGTCTCTCAATCTGGTTTGAAGGATTCTCATTAAGTTTTAAAGTAGACAGCGAGAATGTAAAAGTAGGCGGATTGGTAATCAAAAGTGTTGTAGGCAATTTGAGGCTCTCACTCCCTCACTTTACCCATTTTCCCACAAAAGTCGACAGCTTAGACCTCAAAGTAGCCGGTTTTTCAGCCGGTTGCCGGCACTTAATGAGAACCCTGGACCGTTTCAGATTTTTGTTCCATTTAACGAAACTGCTTTTCGATCGCAATAACGTGCTCGTTCATCGATAAACACGGCAGGTCAAGGTTAGTTCGGGCAAAAGTCACTTACTCTCCTTCGTTGCAAAAGCCGCTAAAGGATTGTAGTATATTAAACTCAAGTTCCACTGTAATTATAAATCCGTAACGAGGCGAAAACGCTTGGATTTTCTCACCGTAAAACTAGTGTCCAATGTGTGTCTGTGTGTGTTTAGAGCACGCTTCTCAGCACTTGAGAATTCGTAATTGTCTTCTGAATTTTCTTGAATCAAATTCCAGATAATTTTAAGTTGACGAGTCTCAGTATTAGTTAAAGAGCTACTTTCCTTTCCATTTCTCGTCGAGAAGACGCTTATTAAATTTAGCGGAGAGAAATATAAAACGATGTGTTGAAATTGAGAAGAAGATCAGAGCAGCAGGCAACTTCTGTATGGATCAATCTTATTTCAGATTTTTGTTCCCGCTAGCACGAAAATCCAAACAATCTGGATTGTCTAAATCCGAAAGATGTTTGCCTAAAAGGAATGCAACCAAAATTTCCTGGATGCATAGATTACCAAATTTTCTTACCCATGGTGCTCCGCTGGGCGCGAGAGCTCCGCTAGAAAGTTATGCTCCAGTCCTCGCCCCAGTCCTCTCTCGCAAAATGATCATTTAAAGCCAGAAACAACCCTTTGTTGTCGTTTTGTGATGAAACGAGAACGGTGACCCCCCCGTTTTTATATGTGCTTTTTACTCGTTATGGCTACACAAAAATACATATTTAGGCGAAAAAATCTGGATAGTGTGGAAGTTTTATTTTTGTTAGGTATGAATGACACGACTTTCCGCATTTAGAGCCACAGAGAAGTATCATGTTAAATCTGTCCATTTCTCTATATTTTTTGCAAAATCCGGTAATTTGAGGTGTCTTAACTGAAAATATAGCTGAGACGAACAAATGGGATTAAGGTTTTAGTTAGATTCATACTTTTTGCTATAAAATAAGAATTTTTGACGGTTGTTTAAATTCGAACACTTCGTGCGCAACTAGGAAAAAAACCTCAGAATTATGGGCACGCAGGGCGAAAACAAGTACGTTGATCCCATGTTTTTATTACATTTTGCTAATGTCCTATATATGGCTGACATTTTTGCCAAGTTTGAAAATCTGCATAGTAGATCATTTTCAAGGGAATAACCTTGAATAATCGACCAACCCTCCGCTTTCTCACCTGACCTAACTGGCAACTAAACAATTACGTCATTCCGTGAAAGTAATTTAAATATAGAGCGTTTTCACTCACGTGGCCAGCATCTATGCAAATTTATTGCAACAAAAGAAAGCGTTTGCTTAAGAAAAGAATTCTTGGTACTCTTGGCACACCAACATGGCCACCGTTTTATTGTTTTGGAACACCAATATGGCCGCCGTGATGTCATGTGAAAACGCTTAATTGCTTTCAGTTTCATTTTTTAATCCAGTGGGACTTGAGGTTTTTAACAGATCAAGAGAAAAACACCAAGGTACCAAGGTAGATCAGCGACGGACGCTAACCGAAAGTATCGAGGACCTTTCATTTCTCCTGTGCCTTGAAACATTTTAGATTTTCAAAGGATTCGGGCAAAACCATTGCTCAAGATTGCAAAAGGTCCACTTCCGGCTATCGTCTGAAGGCTTACTGAAGTTTCGCTTCGTACCATACTATAAGGACTTGGGTGTAACACTCGTATTGGTACGCATTAAAAGTATAAGTAAAAGTTTTACAATTGATGGTTCAGTATTACCTGTCATTTTCTTATGCCTCTTGCCTGCGTTTTCCACATGATGCTTTAGGTCATTTTCTGTGGCGAACCGCTTCGGGCAAGCCGGACACGCAAAAGGTTTCAATTGCGAATACTTAACACTATGTACGGCTCTTTGATGACTGTCACTTCCATTTTCGGTGGAAAACCGCTTCGAGCAAAATGAACACTTAAAAGATTCTAATAGTGAATCCATTTCTAGCTTACAACTCTGCAGTGACGCATCTCGAGAAAAAGCCAGTGAGCGAAGCTGGCTAGTGGTTCGTTTTATTTACATTTCACGCGTCCATAGGGAAATCCCCTAGTCGTCATACAATGGTCATACCGAATATACCTCACTAACCACTGCTAACTTATAAACATCATGGCTGAAAAAATACCATTCTTTGTCGAGTGCTAATAGAGGGTAATAAGTTGTATTACAAACTACTAAATTACCCACTGTTGTATTTTAAATTGGAGTTTATTTTTGCTGGTTTTAAGCTGACTTCACTTCCGCCATGCAAATTTTGCGAAAAAAAAGAATTACTGTTTTGTCAGCAGTATGGCCTCATTGTCTGGTGGCTGAAAACCAGCAATATGTCAGCTGATATGTGGCCTCGTCATGCGATAGTTACTCCGAATATAACTCATGTCTTGTCTATGGAGGCCCGTTCTGGTCAAAATTAATATAATAAAATGACATCACAAGTGACTTTTCGGCCAGTGCAGCATTTATTATGGACCTCTTGAGTATTTTTGTCATCACTACATAGGATTTTTTTAGTGTGTTTTTATTTTTTTTTAGCTGCATGAATTATTTTTTAATTAAGGCTGTTTACTTTTTTTATGTTGTTGTATGAATAAATTTTTCATGCGTACCACAAATAATTTTTTAGTGGTACCGCGAATTATTTTTAATACAAGTATTGAGAATTATTTTTTTTATGGTGCTGATAATTATTTTTCGCTGTATCGAGAATTTATTTTTGGTTCTACAATGCTTTGCGGGCCTTGCAGTTGAAGTGGACTGGTTCGAGTCTTTGACTTCCTTGAGCGACCATTTTGAAAACTTTGAAGTGGAGGAGTGTTTTCAAAGAGAATGCCAAGGCGAAACATTGTCAGAGAACTGAAACGACAGAGGTTTTCATCTTTCTTAAAAAATCTGTCAGGAGCTAGTAGTCTGTCGTTAGTGATGAGGTTTTCTGGACCGAAGATTTAATAGAGGAGACTACGAAGGGACTTCACAACTCGTACACAATTCTAACCCTTATTCAGAACATGACATGTCTGCCCGATTGAACTGTTCTTTACCCGGTCTTGTCCTCGAATCTTCGTCTCGCACTACACATGCTGGTTTTCGGAACGAAGACGCAGAGAATGAGAGTGTCCGCTACCCTGAAGTTCAGGAAGAAGCTCCCGATTCTAATCCAGACGGGCGAGCACCAGAAGCAGAGCCAGATGGACTCGAGGGAGAAGACCTATGCTGAGTGCTAGTTAGACTAGACCTCACTAAATGGGAAATTCGATTGATTTATCTAATATTTATGTTATGGCATTATTGGCTATACATCTCAGGTATCTGACGTTGGACCGACTCATTCATCTCCGAATATTAAAAACATAATGTTAAAAATCAGGAATTACTATACTGCCCGGTATGACCAATCGATAAAAACCGATATCGGAAAACCGTTCGATAAATCGATATCAATCGATAATTTTTAATTAATCGATATCGATTTTATCGATCAATCGATAGAAATCGATACTCACAGTCTTCCGCGTATTTAACGATATCGATTTTATCGAGTAATCGATGTTAACGGAGTATCAAAAACCATACAAAATAAAACTGCTTCTATGTGGACAGCGTTTTAATTTAATATAAAACAATGAACAGAAACATTAAGCAACCAAGGATTTATTTCATTCAGTCAACACATTAACTTCATTCTTTGTTTTTTCTTTTGTTTCTTTGGTTCTGGAACCATGTTTTAACCTAAAAGGAAAAAAAAAAAGAAACCAAATTTATATGTTTATTGCATGCAACCGTATCCCGGTTAATCATTTTGACTCTTATATTCCCGGTATATTCTCGCAAGGTCTCTCGATGATTTTACTTTATATCTCCAGGAAAAAGCTATCTTAAATTCACTTACTTGGTGTTGCTCTAAGTCAAAGTTCTCGGCCAACTTTTCCATTAGCTGTGCCGTCGGACGGCCCTTTGTCCTTCCATATGCATGGTTTAGTCCACTCAGCTGAAATTCAGTAAAAGAAGTCCGCGAGAGCCACAGAGAAGCAACATATTCTCATGCCCACAGCAGCAAATCAGTCCACAGTCAAAAAACCTCAGAACGCTCTCGCCAAAATTATTGGAATCAGTTTAGAAATGACACGCATCCTCTGCCTTTGTGGATCATGTATGATCCACAGAGGAAAAGGCGCATTTTGACCATAATCATTTTAATGTTAATTTTATTGGCATTTACAAACATGTTTTCTGAGCTTCTTAATGTTGAGTTCCTTTCAAATTTATATCAGTTATTTTTGTTTCATTACCTCTCTTCTGCTTTAGTTGCGGAGTTCATCATTTACTTCGTTTTACTTATTTATAGAATGATTTTAGCTCTGATTTGTAGTATGATTTTTGCGGCGGCGAGGGTTTTGCTGACAAAACATTTACTGGAGACAATGTCTAGCATTACAACTACGCAGCTTCGTACTTCGTAGTACATGTATTTGTAGGATGTCATTACGACATTTAGCTTGAACAGTTTCTGAGTAAATACAAAAAGCGGTTATGTTATGTTGCGTTTCCCCGTTGAATCATGCCAGGGAATCGTGTTAATATTATTTGATTATCAGTATTCATTCAATTATCGATTTGTTAAATAAATCTTTAAATTCGTCCTACTTGATTCATTGAATCGTAAGAGTGTTTTTATGGAAGATTTGATACATTTTAGAAATTCGATAAAATCGATAACATTAATTTAAAAATCGATAATTATCGATTACTCACAACGTGTCCTTTTATCGATTTTAATCGATTTCCGATACAATTTACTAATTTTTATCGATTGTTATCGAATGTTATCGATTATCGGTTTTATCGATTGCACATGCCGGGTATACTGCCATCGTAAAGGCACTCGAGCAAGTTCCCCATGTTAGTTAGTTAGTGAGGTCTACTCTCACTAGCACTCTGCGAAGGTCATATACCTCGAATCCATTTGGCTCTGCTAGTTCTTATGCCCCCCCGTCAGGATTTGAATCGGGAGATTTTTCCTGAAGTTCAGGGTAGAGGGCATTCTCTTTCACAGCAATGACAATGACAATGACAATGCTTTATTTATTTGGAGTCTTACACAGTCCTATGTACATTGACTTTATCCAAATAATTTAGAATCATAACACAAATTGCACACTGGTGGAACTATAATCAATGTTAACCTAAAGAACTAATGATCTTCTTTTCTCACAGCAGTCGAATACGTATTTTGCAATTAACTTTTGCACTGGTTTGTTCTTGCTCAGCATCTTCCTTCCCGAAAGCCAGCATGTGTGGTACGGGACGAAGACTCGAGGTGTAAGATTGGGTAGAGAACTGTTCAATTGGGGAGACATGTCATGTGCAATAAGCAGGGTGTCCAGCGGCATGGTTGCTCAAAAATATAGGCAAATAGGAGACTTAGCATTGAGAAAATAGGAAAAATAGGAAACTTTGTATTAAAAAATAGGAGAAAAATGGGAAAATCAATAGTACTTTTGTGGACAAAAGTTGGCCTCCCTGCACCCCATCAGGGTTATAATAAATGCCACGAGTCCTCAGATTCTACGTTCGCAGGATTGAGATCAACTTTCGCGGCTAAGAAGGAGTAAAAATGATCAGTAACGTTTAGTTTATTGCCTCAGTTATGCTATAATCAGAATGATATGCTTGACTGCAGGTCAAGCGTGGTTCTATAATCAAAGGTGATCATATGCAAATTCCCCTCAAGTTGGCGGCAAATCTTTGAAAAGCTTTGAAGAGTGAAATTTCTTAGTATAGAAATTTCTTACGATTGAGTTGTCATTGAACGATATCGAACTAGAACGTAAAAGTCCTATGGAAAGCTTTCCTTCCATTAATCTGCAATCGATAGCTGGTTGAGAATATGCTTGTTTGAGTCAAAACACCGCATAATTTTAAGTACGAAACCAGGCTTTCTGCGGTGTACGCAAAATGACACTGATGTGTTTGGTACCAGATTGTAAGTTTGTCATGGTTAAGTTCTAAGAAGAACATAACACTGCTTAGCTATGACTGCAAGACCGGTTTTGCAACCAAAATATTGGATCCTTCATCAGTTGCTTAGGTATAGCTGTTAACAAGGGCTCACCAAGAGAGCTAGCGCCGTACACTAAACTTTAGTCTGTTCTTTTCATGTAGCATCCAGAATCAGTTAGTGATCATGACTGGTTTTTAAAAACAAGATGCTGATTGGATTGGCCTGTGTTGTGAGAGGACAACTTGATCCTGTTTTCAGTTTCAAAGATGAACATAAAAGTGAGCAAGACTTCAAAATAAAATATAACATGTACAGATACTGAAATGCAGTTTCAGTGGGCTATACACAATATTATTCAATAGTCAGGAGGAGAACTATAACACTACATACAGTACATGTACATGCAGGTTAACAAAAATGTTAACAGAACTCTAACAGGCAATAGAGGTCATGGAAAGAACAAACGTAACTGTTATTTTTGGTAATATTAGAATATCAAAGTCAACATACTACTTGCTTTATGATAAATTTCACTCAAAAACACATACAATTATAATTTCATTTTCAATTTTGTTACAAATTTTCCCTTCACCGGCTAAAAAATAGGAAAAATATGAGGTTTTAGTTTAGAAAATAGGAATAGGCTCAAAAAATAGGAAAAAATAGGAACTGGACACCCTGAATAAGGGTTAGAATTGTGTGCGAGTCGTGAAGTCCCTTCGTAGTCTCCTCTATTAAATCTTCGGTCCAGAAAACCTCATCACGAACGGCAAAGACTACTGGCTCCTGATAGATTTTGTAAGAAAGATGAAAACCTCTTTTGTTTCTTTCCCTGACAATGTTTCGCCTTGGCATTCTCTTTCAAAGCACTCCTCCACTTCAAAGTTTTCAAAATGGTCGCTCAAGGAAGTCAAAGACTCGAACCAGTCCACTTCAACTGCAAGGCCCGCAAAGCATTGTAGGCCCAAAAATAAATTCGCGATACAGCGAAAAATAATTATCAGCAC